TGTGCAACCAAGGAGCACCAAGGGACCCCAAACTATTAAGGGGTGCACACTCTAAAAGTGATTTTGCCATCATTCACACAAAGGCAAAGGAATCATATTCTTAGTGTGACAGATTTTTTAATAGAATTGGTGTGCATAAAAAGAGAAGAAAAGATATTCCTAATAATAATTTCCCAATAAAATCCCCCAAATTACCCATCCCCTCATGAGCAAATGCCCAGCCAAATAAGCTCAGCCTGAAGTGAGGCAGATGAAGACGGAAAGCTTGTGATAAATCTAAGGTACTCTCTGGTAGGAAATCACAGGAAAGTGATTAGTATGGTCTGGGACAGGAGAGATGAAAAAGTACAGATCAAAATAACAGCTGCCATTGTCTCTGCCAAGGACAGTCTCTCCATATGTCTCTCAGCCATGTGTCTCTTCAAGTCTCTCTATATCTCCTTCAAGTCTTCTTCCCAGCAGTACCAGGGTGCAAGCTGGGCAGCAGAAGCAAGAGCTCGTGCCCACCTGCCTTTTGTGCTATATAGTCCAGTCAGCCCTGCCTCTAGTTTCCAATAAGTCTGGTTCATGGCATACTGGGACTTGTAATCTAAGGCAGCTGCATGTAAGTGGGAGATGAGGGAAACAGTGTCCATTCAGTGCTCAGCAGTGCTCCTCCCCCTTCACAGAGATGCCTCTGTAATAGATATGTTGGACTGTGTGAATATGGATTTGAAGACAGAACACTGAATTGAGGAGACATGAATTTGTGTATAGTTGGACTTGAAAGCCAATCTTCTAGGATGCGCAGAGAAAAAAGGATTCCAGAAGCCAGGGGTGAGCCCCAGAATTCCCTAGCATTCTATTACCCGGAGAGATGATAGAATGAGCAAGAGTTGAGAAGGGAGACTGGTAAGGTACAAGGAAAACCAGAGGAGTTTGCTGCCAATAAATTCCTTTCTCTTCTCTGTAACCTAGCTTAAGCTGGTTTCTGTTATTACGTAACAGGATAATACATGGAGATTTTAAACAGAGGGTTTCCTTTCTGAAAATTATCCCTGTTGCCCTGCGGCTCTCCACGTACTGGATCAAGGGCATTCGTGGCTGCACAGGGAAGGCAGAAACAGAGACAAAGACTTCCACTGACTTGCTAAGTGATTTTTTTTTTAAGTCACGGCAGGCATAATAGTCTAAAACCAAGGCATTTTTGATTTGTGAGAGCTAAATGTATGAGAGAAAAGTGGCTTTGTTTTGATTCCTAAATGGGTATGAGTCAGCCTGGGGTAGACATAGTCATCTAGGAAAGAGTGCTGTATAAGGATTAATGGCAAAGTCTTGCCCCACAGGAGGGCAATGCCATCCTGTCCTGGGCAGGAAGGAGGCTGGGGCATGAGGGCTCGAAATCAAGATCTTATCTTGGGCTGCCTCTCCACTACCCTCAGCCAGGGTTTAAAGGCCTGCTTTTAAGACCCCCACATAGGTTTGAAAAACCCTCAGTGAAAGGGCTTTGTTCCCCACTTCCTATCTGGAGTGCTGAATGGACTACATCACAGTGGGTGTCACACCAACTCTGGAGAGTGACAGAGGCGTGCATGTGGGGTGGGTGTGTAGTCAGGAACACGCTTCTTGTGGCCTGCTCTGGATTCTGCACTATTAGTGCACATGGAAAACAAGATTTAAAGATTTCCTCCTGTCCCCAGAGTGGATGCAGAAGGTGGCTGCAACTTGAGTGCCCGCAGGCCTGCCAAGAAGCCATCAAGGTCAGGGCCAAGTTCCAAGCTAGAGATCCAGGCTTGGAGATGCCAAAACCCCCAGCCAGCAGGAGGTCTCAGCTGAGGCTCACAGTAGCAGTGATGACAGTAGGAAGTACAGGAGGCCACTGCAAACTGACCAGTTGGGAGAGCAGCCCTAGTTAAGGTGAATGCAGTTACAGAGAAATTTAGTTATATCTGAACTGTGGTGATGCATTTTCAAATGAAGACATTTGCAATGAGAAGATCCTAACTTAATTATCAAAATTCTATTTGTATGGTCTGCATTTCTTATTCAACAACGAATCAGAAACTCTGCAAATTCTATTGAAAGTATTTTGGTCATGTTTTGTTATTAATAATACAGGTTGACCCCACCTGGTGACTTAAAATGTATTTCTCCAGATAAATGGTATTATAAATAGTGGTTGATTTCCTTTGTTAGCTCAAAGGTCTACGTAATCCATAATATGATTGAATTACAGCTAATCCAGTTGGTGTCAGAATAATGTAGTGCAAATGGAGTGTTTCAAATCTTTAGCACAACCTACGTATAGTGGTTCCTCAGCTATCTACTTAGCTTTTCTGGGCCTCAGTTTCCTTATTTGTGAAATGGGGATAACAGTATATTTTCTTATAGAGGTGTTGTAAGAATGAGTAATAATCTCCATATGGCACCCACATTTTCAGTGCAATTGATCTTGCCTAGGGGTTGGAAGAAAACAATCTGATTAAACAAATATACTTTAAGCTAGGGATGGAGTACATTTCCTTAATCCTCATCAGAAGCATTTTCACTGTTAGGTGAGAAAGATTTCTAATCTAATTAAATATCTAAATAAAGGGATTTTCAGTAATTCTTTTAATAACAAGGCCATCTAAAATTTTTAGGTCCATGAGGGAAAATAATTTGAAATAGATGACCGTCCTTTCAGCAAGGTAGAGCTACCTGGCCAAGATAGCTTAGTGTCTTTTCCGTTAGGATTTCTTTGGGCTGTATATACTGAAAAAGTGCTAACAGGCTTAAGATTAAAGTTAATCTCCCTCAAACACATAAAAGGAGCCTGGAAGTTAGCAATCCAGGACGAGTATGGTTATTTCACAAAGTTCTCACGGTCCAAGGCTGTGTTGCTATCCTTGACAGTGGCTTATGTTTTCATGGGCCAATACCGATCACAGAACACTCAGTCATCATATCCATGTTCCTTGCAGACTGCATGATGGAAGGCGGGACAAAACAAAAACCCAAATTTCCAGGAAGTCCCACATAATAATTTTACTTGCATTATTAACTAAAATAATCACATGACCACCTCTCGCTGCAAAGGACTCTGAGAAACATCCTTTAGCTGACACTTGCATAGTCAATAAATGTAGAATTGTAGCACTAAGAATGAAGGGAAGAACGATGTTAAAGATAAGCACCGAGCTGTCCTTGCCACAGCACTATTATCCACTTATTTAGCTCGTGTGTCACTGGCAATGTCTCCGTCTATATTCTGTGATGTTGGCGATGGGACTCTGCAAACTATGTTCTGTTTTGCCAGGGGAGTCTGGAGGAAGACTAGAGAGTCTGGGGAGCAAGGATGCTGTGCCTATCAGCTTTGATTCTTGACTCTGGCATTGGTAGTTTTTTCCAGAAGCAGCAGTTGATCCCAGTTTGCAGTTTGGTCAGCACCGGCCTCATCTCTGTCCCCTCCTCAGATGCACCAGTGCCAGGACAGTTGGCCCCTACTATGATCTGAACTGTGCCAGGCCAATGTTTCTATGCTGAAGGCTTAACTCCCAATGGGATTGTATTTGGAGATGGGGTTCTATGAGGTAATTAAGGTCAAATGAAGTCATAAGGGTGGGACTCTGATCCTAATCTCAACCTCTCTGTCTACCAGTAGGCACTGAAGAAAGACCTGTTAGCACACAGTCCCAAGGTGGCCATCAGTAACAGCTCTACCTTTTAGCCTACAAAGTTCTCAAAACAGTGGCAACCTAGGAAGACAGGTCTTACCGGACACCTACCATGCTGTCACTTTGATCTTGGACTTCTAGCCTCCATAGCTGTGAGAAAATAGATTTTTGTTCAGTCACTGAGTTGTCTTGCAGCCTGAGGGGCTGTGCCAACAGGGTGCCTTCTCTAGCCGCTTCCCTGTGCTCCTGAGACCCAAGGGCAACAGTTGTCTGCCTTGACTGTCTCCTTTTTGATTATATTCTACTTTTTTTGCCTTTTCAGTTCTTCAACATCTTTATTTCTTCATATAAAGGATTTGGGGGTATTTTTTTTCTGTTAAAATAACTGAAGTGGCTTTACTAGGGTCTTTACTAGACCCTGACAGAATACAAACAGCTCCCGGACACTCTCAGCTATGGCTCACATACTTTAATAGAAGTTCCAGTAACACGTTCTCCAGCCCCATCTGTCCCCAAATGCATGTCTGCCAAACCTGACCCCCCAGTACTTCACACCCCTGCTCATTCCCAACCTCGATTTTTGTCCCTGAATGGCCCTGTCTCTAGATCCTACTGCCCACTTTACCTAGTTGGATGACATACTTGGGTTCTTGTTCCCTTCCTTTGTAAAACATAAGGGCTCACAGGCTTGCCTGAAAAATTGAACAGCATCACATACCTAACTGGCCCAGTATTTTAGGTTTTTCTGGCTGGAGAAAAGGGACATACTCTAATATTACACACCCAAACCAACTCCCTTAATCAAGCTATTTGTTCAAAGTTTTAGAACTTTTTACTTTTTTGTAGCCTGCAAGCTCTCAAAATATTCCAGTATGTTCTCCTGATGGCAGCAAAGGGAATTCTGTGGAGTAGGTGCAGCACTTACATAAGAGAATTATTTGCTAGTAAAGCAGATTATTTTAAGTTGGGGGCAGCCTGAAATAATTTTGTAACTTAGTTGTGCACCTAAAAATAATTTCTTTTTTTATTGAAGTAACATATCATTATAATATTATAGATGTTTCAGGCTTCAAGGTTGAGGATCAACCTGTGACATGTACTACATTAAGGTCATTGTTAAAAGTCCAAATCTATCCTTCGCCACACCACTGTCCAGGCAACATATCCTCACACATTTGCAGGCTGCTTCCAGATAATCAAGATTTGCTTTTCTGTCTCATCCTTTGCATGCTCTGTTTGCATTGTTTGCGTGCTTCATGAACTGGAAACTGGAAAACATTTTAGAGAGTTTCTCTTTCCTTCCATATCTTTCATTCTTATTATCTCTGCTTCTTCTAGGTGAATTTAAGGGACTTTCCTGTGCCTATCATCATAAGTCCCACAATTATTAAAAGATGGTAGCAAATAAATGTAAAGCATCCTCTCAAAGTGCCCTCTTATCGAGTTAGCTTATACAAGACATTAATAATAACATTTTTAGGCCCTATTCATGTCAAGAATCTTGTTTACCAGAAGAGAATTTCTTGCACACATGCTTTTATAGCCTCAGGCGTGGATGAGGAAGGAGGCTGGAGAACTGCATTTGCTGATTTAAATTTCCTTTGCTTTCTCTGTGGCTGGAGAAAATGAAAATCCTCATTATGGTCATAGAGCTAAATTGTAATAAGCAGACTTTTTCAAAGACTTTTTTCCTGAGAAAACCTTAGGACAGATAACGATCTCACTGATTGAAGGAAGTGATCATTGCAACCTTTGCCAATCGTCCTCAGGGACCCTGCACCCCTCCCCATGGGGCTGTTTTCTTTAAACCAAAGGACAAAATGCACTACCAAATCACTATAAATTTCCTTATGCTGCATGTGAGAATTTTGTTTTTTAACAGGACTGTCCCAAGAAATTGGATTATGGCTGCTATGCCCACTCCGGATACATAAAATACACCAGGCTTTGTGGCAGCTTCAAGGGCAGGCACCCTTTTTCTATAAGAGGCTAGAAAGCCAATATTTTAGGCCTGATAGGCCACAAGGTCTCTGTTTCAATTACTCAACTCAGCTGTTGCAGGGCAAAAGCAGTCATAGATACTAGGAAAGACCAACACAATTTTTTTTTTTTTTTTAACAAAATAGGCAGCTGTCCATTTTGGTCCATGTGGCCCATGGGTTATAGCTTACAACTTCTGTTCTAGGCTATCCAAGAATACTCTTTTATATAAAGGCAAACATGCCAAAAATCTGTACTCTGCTTTTTCAGTATTTCACATAATAACTGATATGTTAAATCTGAAAAAACATTGTAGGGTAAAGAAAATGTCAGTCTTTTCTGCCCTCCTGCCATCAGGATAGATGATGGATCCTTGCGGTCCTGAATGCATGCCTGATGGCGGGCACCTGGAGTAGGGTGTGGGCATAGGTAGATGGGATTCAACAGGGCTGAGACTATGCTTTTAAGGACGGCGTCATGGGGACGCCAGCAGCAGTAGAAGCTGAGAGAGAAGCAAGAGAAGCAAAAGCTGAGAGAAGGCCGGAGAGCCCAGATAGAGTGAAGCCTTGCTGGGGGGCTGGTAGGCCTGCCAGCCTCCCGGCACCCCAGCACCTCTGCTTGCTGTGTACTGGGTAAAGCCCAATAAAAGCCTGCAAAAAGCCACTGAGGACTCTGACTCCTCCTTTGCCCAGTCTGCTAGATCCTAGAAAACCTGCCCTGTGTCCATTCCTGCCTCTACAAACATATAAAAGATGGTGTCCTTTTTCTTTCTGCTTCTTGAATGGAGACAATGAATTTTTATGCCCAGACAAAATGACATTTCATTAACTAAGAGAAAACTAATATAGAAGGAGATGAAGGGGATTCTGGAAGGGGATGAAGAGGCCCAAAGGGGAAAATAGTGTCATTTTTCATTTCTTATTTGCTAGGGCTGTATAGCAGCTTAAGACCTTGTAACTAACAGGATTGTTATAGGCAAGGTCTGGGTTCTAACTTAACCTCTTCCAAAAGGGTAAGAATGGGAACATTTCAGAACATTACAAAACCAATGACCCAACTCAGACAGGTGAAGGCTAGGGCTTCTAACGGTACTCAGGGGAAATCAATCAGCCAAGACAAACAGAGAAGTCTGTCAATGTTATATTGAAGATCTGGTGGGTGGGTTATAGGAAGAAAAGGAATTGGGTGAGGTGAATATTTGGTTGAGCAGCAGAGGTTGAAATTCTTTCTAGACTCTTGAGGAAAAGGTTCAAGTTCAGGGTTGAGGTTAATGAAGTTTACTGAGAATAGGTTTCATCTATTAGAGTCTGATGATCTGAAGATTTTTTTTTCCTTTTTGTTAAAAATGTTTAAAAAAATTTCAACTTTAAAAGTATTGCGGTTGAAGTTCTGAGTGGAGAAAACAATTTTCCTCAGAGCAGAAAATTTTCCACTCAGTGTAGAATTGTCTGAGTAGAGAATATCTGAGTGCTTACTGCGTTCTAGTTTTACATATTGTTATAACTAGTCTTTATTGTTATACCCAATTTAAAGGTGAGGAAACAGGCCCAGAATGGTTAAGTAATTTGTCCAAGGGCACAAAGATATTAAAGTCAGGATCAGAATATGTAAATGAGTCTGTCGGACTTGGAAACCCATATTCTCAATCTTTGTTTTGTACAGTTTCTAAGTTATTTTCTCTCCTCACTTCGTGGTGGTGGCCAAATGTAGGGTAAGGAACAATGTCAGGCTTTTCTGCCCTCCCGCCATCAGGATAGACGATGGATCCTTGCGGTCCTGAATGCATGCCTGATGGCGGGCACCTGGAGTAGGGTGTGGGCATAGGTAGATGGGATTCACCTGGGCTGAGACTGGGCTTTTAAGGGTGGCGTCACGGGGACGCCAACAGAAGCCGAAAGAGAAGCAGAGAAAGAAGTAGTAGAAGCCAAAAGAGAAGCCGAGAGAGAAGCAAAGAAGCAGAAGCAGAAGCAGAAGCAGAGATCACTGGAGAGCCCAGATAGAGTGAAGATTTGCTGGGGGCTGGTAGGCCTGCCAGCCTCCCGGCCCCCCAGCACCCTTGCCTGCTGTGTACAGGGTGAATCCCAATAAATGACCTGCAAAACCAACCGAGGACTCTCTAGGACTCCTCCTTTACCCGGTCTGATGGATCAGAAAACCTGCACCGTGTCCGTTCCTGCTCTTACACTAAATCTTTGGGTCACAAAGGATTCTGAAAGAAATTTTTAAACAGATAATCAACTAGCTTTTAGCTTTCATGTTTCAAAGACACCCAAGATCAAGTTCTCCACCAACGTAGTTGCTTAGAATTCTGGTATTGAGAGGATGTTGTCTTAAATTTAGAAAATTTTATCCTGGTCCTGAAAAGGAAGGGATTGTAAAAGGAAAAATTTAATATTTAATTAACTTGATTAAATATTTAATTTAATTAATTTGTTTCTGTGGAAGTTTAGGGAAACCCTTAGGAAGATGCTTTTTATAGACTAGTTTAAACATGTAGACTGTGACTTATTTATTTAAATTTTTTGGCTGAAGAAAGTAAAGCAAAGGAAGTCTGAGGAAAACCAGCTCCCTCTGGGATCTTGACTTCAGCTGCTTCTTGTTTTTCCCTTCACTTAATGAATTTTCACTTAATGAAATCATTTTTGATTTTGAGGCTTTTGCCTCCAAAAACACCATCTAGAATGGAGTTAATTTTGAAATATTTTAAGGCATATGCCAGAACCCAAGACCCCAGAGAGTTAAACTGTCTGCAGATCATTTAGACCACCCACCTGTAATAGATGCATGGTCTGTCACGGCTCCTCAGAAACTCAAAATCCCACCTCTTACTATCTCTCCAAATAGTTCCCAGGAGGCTTTGCTCCTCTTTAGAACTGCTGAGCTAGACAGGATTTCACTCCTCTTGCCCAGTGTCACTTACAGGTGGGAGGGAAATGGAAATTAAGACACAAATTCCATTCCCAGTGAATAAATGTTGAACACAGGAGACCAGTCTAAAACTGGGGAAAGGAATTTGGGGCTTCATACTCATGCATTGTGCTTCCACTCAAATGTTTCTATTTCCCGCCCAAGACATTGGTTCCCATTTCAGTAACATAATCAAATGTGAAATCAGAGAGCCTCCATATTGAAATTCCAGACCTTGTTTCTGGGTTATATAAGCAAAATAGTCATAATGCCTTATCATCAAATACATTTTTAATAAAAAAATTGATCATCCATCTTATTCACTAAGTGACTTTTGACTGTATTCAAAGAAATATTTACACTCTTAAAAATCTGGCACTACTGAAGGCACTTGAAAGAATGAAAGCTGTGAAAGTGTGGTAGGCAGATTTCTAAGAATGACCCCCAAAGACCTTCACTTTTGTGTAATTCCCTCCCTTGCTGATATGATGGGACATCACCAAAGAAATTTTATGGATGGAATTAAGTTTACCAATCATTTAATTTTTTTTTTTTTTTTTTAGCACTGGGTACAGTAAGAAGCGCGGGAGGGTGAGAGAATTCACCAGAGCCAGAGCGGGGAACAGAACAGGCAGACTGACGAAATACACTGCTGAGGGGAGCAGCAGGCGGCAGGAGAGGTCTGCGCGCCATGTGGGACCCTTGCCCAGCGGCCGGGGGTCGAACCGGCGCTGCAGAGGCTGCCGGCAGCTTCACAGCCCAGAGCTCAACCGCTGCGCCACTGGGGAGGCCCCCAATCATTTGATCTTAAAATAGAGAGCACTTGGGTGGGCTAGGTGTAATTACATGATTCCTTTAAAAACAGCTTTCTCTGAGTGATGGCTGAAAAATATCGGATGGTTTCACTTATAGCAGGAATAGAGGGTCCCAAATAAGACATCATGTAAAAAAATAACAACGGTACAGAACACAACAAAGCAAAAATGGACAATTATAAATCAGAGACATCCTGCAGGGGAGGAGGAGGGAGAGGGATCAGAGGGCGGGAGGGAGGAGCACAGGGGACTGAGGTGATGGTGTTTGGGTGCATTGGGGAAGGAAACCCTATGGGGACTACACCTGAGGGGGTGGGGGAAGCAAATATTGTTTAAAAATGAACAGTGATGTAAAAAATAAAAAAAATTAATATAAAAACTAAAAAAAAAAAATAAACCAGAGCAACTCCAAGCATAAGAATAACTGGATATACCATTGCTCACTGGAGGTGGAGGGGCCAGGTGATGAGGAACGTGTGCAGCCTCTGCAGTAAGAAAGTGGCCCCCAGCTGGTCGTCTGCAATGAACTGGATTCTGCCACCAGTCTGAATGACTGTGGAGCAGCAGATTCTTCCCCCAGAACCTCCAGATAAGAAGGCAGCCATGGCCACAAGGACTTGTGACTTAAAATCTGGGTGCTAATAAAAGGGTGCTATTTTTAGGCCACTCAGTTTATGATAATTTATTTTGCAGGAAGAGAAGAGTAATTTAGGAGGAGATGAAGAGGATCCTGAATGGGAATGAAGAGTCCCAAAGGTATTCAGAATAGTAAGTGCTTCCCTGGAACATGCATCTTCACAAGGGGGAGGCCATGTCTGTAGCTGAGAATAATGTAGAGACAGATGTATGCATTTTAAGGTAATTCTTTTTTTTTTTTTTTTAAGATTTATTTTTTCATGCATACAAGAACTGGG